TCCATTCTGACACTCCAGCCATAGCTGACTGCATTTTATAAGATGCTCCTTTCCCATCCTGTTCCCCCTCATATGATGCCTGAAAGTGTAATGAATCAAAGGTCTGGCTCTGGGTCTTCAGAGATTCCACAGCTCTCCCACTCCTCCTCCCTATACCGACATCATTCCCACCAACAGCCATAGGACTGCATCATGCAGATAAGGTCAACCTTTTTTGGTCACCATTGGAAAGAGGCAAGCTGCCATAGAAAGACAGAGGGCTATTCAGCCCCTGGCTGGAAAACAGTTTCAGGGAGAACCTGTTTCACCAGAATTCCTATGAATTCTGGTAGTCCCAAGATGAAAAAAGAAAAATCAGAAAAAGAGGGTGCTAACTTGCACTTCATTTGGGAAAACAGATTTTGGCAAGAAGAGAAGGAACTAACCAGAATGGACTTCAAAAACCCCATCAATGAGGAAACGAGTCAGTCCACACTTGTATATTCTCACCAAACATCCACATCAGGTAGCAGTTTTATTGTATCCATATTATACCATGCACCTCTAACAGAGCTGCCTGTTGTATTGTCCCAGACCAATTTTTCTAAGCCACTACACTTTTCTTGTTGGTATTGACAAAAGGAGGACAATTTCTATGCTAAGAATTAACAGAAGCAATGAAGTTTGCCTGAATTCTAGGAAAAACTTGCAGTTTCACCCAGCTGCACCTGGAGACACCAATTTAGCAAAGAACCCCGCAAAAATTTATAGCCAAAGGCACCTGCATGGGAAACCAAGTAATTTCTCACCTGCAACCTGGCAGCTAATGGTAACATTTGCTCTCTGGATTGTTTTCACTGTGCTTCCAATATCAACAGCGATTGAAGGCGATTCAGTGTTGATTACAGTAGCTCTTGATGTCTTTATCAGTGGCTTTCCTGTACAAAAGAAGCACCACAGTTCATCAGATCAAGCGCACTGGACTCACACAGAACAGATGGCCTGGGATGCTCTATGAAAGTACCTACACAGGGCAGGTGGGTAAGAGAAAATGCTGGAGTATGAGGCCACCTGCTCTTTGCAACATTACAGTGTCACTGAATTCCAGGGGAAAAGCTGTCTTGGAAAAAGAAAAAAAATACTTAGAGCAGAAGCAGAACAGCATTAAAGGCATGTGGACACACATGAGAACCAGCTGAATCAATAAACACCAGTACAATTGGAGCTGCAGCAAGACGTTTGCCTGGCACTGCAACCAAAACACCACCCTTTGCCAAAACATAGGAAAAAAGCCTGAGGGATGGCTACAGGCATATTAATAGTGCAGGAGGTTTAGAGCAACATGCAAGCTGTTTCTACACACTGAGCATGTTTTCTTTAACTTACAGTGGAAACACTGGGGTTGGGAAGACCAGAGCATAACCAGAAAGTTTTCTCATTACGGCTAGTGTAAGAAGATGAGGGACATAAACAAGCTCCTTTCTGTCAGATAACCTGTTTTGTTTTTTCTGAAGTCTATAGTAACAGCGTTGTGCAGTAACATTGTTCATCTCTAACAAAGATACTTGCTTTGTCTGCAACAAACTACTCAAACTCTTTTCAGTGTGCTTCCAATATTGGTGTCAGTGAGCAAGTGAGTCAAGGTGTTCCCCTGCTGTGGTGCCTATCTATGTGGGGTTAGCTGTGAAGTTATCCACCGTCGGGGGCCTGAGAAGCCTTCAAATCATATAATATTTTAGGTTGGAGAAGACGTTTAATACCATCAAGTCCAACCATTAACCTAAAACTGCCACTAATAAACCATGTCCCTAAGCACCTTGTCCATACGCCTCTCCAATACCTCCAAGGACGGTGACTCAGCCACCTCCCTGGGCAGCCTGTTCCAATGTATGACAACTCTTTGTTAATTTGGGAGAAGAGACCAACACCCACCTCTCTGCAACCTCCTTTCAGGTAGTTGTAGGGAGCGATAATATCTCCTCTCAGCCTCCTCTTCTCCAGGCTAAACAAGCCCAGTTCCCTCAGCCAGTCCGTCCTCACAGGACTTGTGCTCCAGACCCTTCCCCAC